TTATTCTTGTGGTGTCAAAATTTAGAGAAGTGTTTTCTAATAACTTGTTTGGTATGCCTCTGGATAGGGATATAGACTTCTGCATTGATTTAGAACCTGGTACTCGTCTCATTTCTATCCCTCCATATGGCATGGCTCCGACAGAATTTAGAAAGCTTAAGGCTCAAATCCAAGAGCTTCTTGATAAGGGATTTATTCGTCCTAGTGCTTCCTCATGGAGTGCTCCAATTTTGTTTGTTAAGAAAAAGGATGGTAGTATGAGAATGTATATAGATTACCGACAATTGAATAGGGTCACTATTCAAAACAAGTATTCTTTGCCTCGAATAGATGATCTTTTTGACCAATTGCAAGGTGCATTAGTTTTCTTTAAGATTGATCTAAGGTCTGGCAACCATCAGTTGAAAATTAGGTCTGAGGATGTGCCCAAGACGGCATTTAGGACTCGTTATGGGCACTATGAGTTTTTGGTTATGTCTTTTGGTTTGACCAATGTGCCTGTAGCTTTCATGAGTTTAATGAATGGGGTGTTCAAGTCATTTCTTGATTCTTTTGTCATAGTCTTTATTGATGATATTTTGGTTTATTCGAAAAGTAAGGAAGAGCATGTCGACCATCTTCGTATTGTTTTGGGTGTTCTTGGAAAACAAAGGTTGTATGCTAAATTTTCTAAGTGTGAAGTTTGGTTGACTTCGATTGCATTTTTGGGGATGTAGTTTCGAAAGAAGGGGTAATGGTAGACCCTCAAAAGATTTAGGCGGTAAAGAATTGGGTTTGACCATATTTTGTAACTGAAGTTAGGAGTTTTGTGGGGCTTGCTGGCTATTATCATCGATTTGTGAAGAACTTTGCTTTTATTGCCACCCACTTGACTAATTTGACCAAAAAGGAGATACCATTTGAATAGACTGAAAAATGTGAGGAGAGCTTCCAAAAGCTCAAGGCTCTTTTGACCACCGCACATATTCTAGCATTACCAGTAGAAGGTGAAGATTTTATTGTTTATTGTGATGCTTCACATTCTGGTTTGGGTGATGTGTTGATGCAGGATAGGAATGTTATAGCTTATGCATCACGTCAATTGAAGGTGCATGAGAGGAATTACCCAACAAACAATTTTGGGTTGGCAGCGGTAGTGTTTGCTCTTAAGATCTGGCGACATTATCTGTCTAGTGTCAAGTGTCAAGTGTTTACTGATCATTGTAGTTTGCAGCATGTGTTCACTCAAAAGGATTTGAATTTGAGACAACGAAGGTGGATGAAGTTACTTAAAGATTATGATGTCACCATTCAATACCATCCGGGCAAGGCTAATGTGGTGGCAGACGCTTTGAGTCGAAAAACAGTGAGTATGGGTAGTTTAGCTTGCTTAAGTGTATCCAAACGACCTTTGGCTAAGGAAATTCAGACCTTAGAGTCTAAGTTCATGCAGTTGGGCATCTCAGAAAGAGGTGGGGGTGCTAGCTAGCATTAAAGTGAGGGCCACATTCATTGAGGAGATCAAGGTCAAACAGTTTGATGATGAGAATTTGGAGGAGCTTAGAAAGAAGATTGCGATTAGTAAGGCACAAGAGACTATTCTTGATGCGGAAGGTGTGCTCAATTTTAAAGGAATAATATGTGTTCCTAGAGTAGATGACTTGATTAAGAAATTATTGGCGGAGTCTCATGGTTCGCGATATTCTATCCATCCGGGTGTGACCAAGATGTATCGAGATTTGAAGCGAATTTATTGGTGGCCGGGCATGAAGAAGGATATAGTGGAGTTTGTAGCTAAGTGTAAAAATTGTCAACAAGTGAAGTATGAACATCAAAGGCCTGCAGGTTTGCTTCAAAGAATGTCAATTCCGGAATGGAAGTGGGAAATGATAGCCATGGATTTTATGGTTGGTCTTCCCAAGACTTTGGGGAAGATTGATTTTATTTGGGTAATGGTTGATAGATTGACCAAGTCAGCCCATTTTATTCCGGTAAGAATAGATTATAATGTTGAACAATTGGCTAAAGTTTATGTGAAAGAGATTAGTGAGGTTGTATGGGGTGCCCCTCTCTATCATCTCAGAACATGGTACCCAATTCACCTCCAAGTTTTTGAGGAAATTGTATGATGAATTGGGCACACAACTCAATTTTAGTACAACCTTCCATCCACAGACTGACGGGCAATCAAAGAGGACTATCCAAGTGTTAGAGGACATGTTGAGGGCATGTATGATTGATTTTGGAGGACATAGGGATTAGTTCTTACCTTTGTTTGAATTCTCCTATAATAATAGTTATCACTCCAACATAGATATGGCACCATTTGAGGCACTCTATGGGAGGGGATGTAAATCACTCATAGGATGGTTTGAGGCTAGGAATGTGAAACATTTAGGGGTTGATTTAGTGAAGGATGCTCAAGATAAGGTGAGGATTATTCAAGCTAAGTTTTTAGCAACACAGAGTAGACAAAAGAAGTATGCGGATCATAAGGTAAGAGACACACATGTTTAAATCGTTTCCAAGTTTTAGTATGTGTGATTTATTAAAGAAAGATAATAGACTTGGTGCTTGAAGTCGACTAAAAAAATGTTGTTTTGATCATCATACTGAACATTGGGGCAAGGGAGTGCTATTGAATCGAGAACTGTATTCATAGTTATTCTTTAGATTCTTACACAACTTAATTCATGTTCTCCAGGGAAGACAAGGGGATGATATCAATGGTTTGTTATCGACAAGCAAGGATGATTTTCAACCTCCAAAATTCAAGGGAAGTGCAAAAACAACCTTCCAAGCTCTTTTCACCTTCCCTCTCTGAGCTAATACACTAAGGTGAGAGACTGCAAAGAGTTTATGGATTTAGGACGTTTCGTCTTGAGCTGCCTAATAATTCTACTTTTTGCACTTGGAAGGATCTCTCTTGAAACACATATTAGAGTCATGGGATCCTATATTTCGATGACTTGTAAAGACGAGAATTGTTTGCAAGGTCATTAGATTCATTTACATGTATGTATTGCATTCTTTCGAATGTGCTCTTGACTGACAATTCTTGTATTTTTGAATAATATCTTGATATCATCAGATTAATAGAGCACAGAAGAATATTGAACTCACATCCTTATTGCCTTCTGGCATATCCAGAATTTTCTGGGCAGCTTTTTTATAGGGATAATACATATATTTGACCTTAAACTTGGCTTCAAATTTTAACTTTGACCTCCAACTTTCATAGTGCACAAACAAGCACTTTAACTATCCAACCTTTTAATAAATAAACACGCGATTTTTGAAGCCAAGAGCGTGAATTGCACACGCTGCCACGTGTATTATTGAGCCACTCAATGGCTGCCAACTAATTAAACACTTTACACCTCCATTTTAGAACTAAAAAAATAAAAATTAATCAAGGGTAGAGTTGTCATTTCAGCATTTTTTTCACTGTTGTGTGCCTCAAAAATTACTTCTCACTCGCGCAAAATGCGTGCACATCACGTCGTTTGCCAGGTAAGACACGCGTGTTTATTTATTAAAGGTTGGATAGTTAAAGTGTCTATTTGTGCACTTTGAAAAGTTGGAGGTCAAAGTTAAAATTTTGAAAGCCAAGTTTAAGGTCCAATATATGTATTATGCCTTTTTTATAAGTGTCACTTCTACCTATTTGTGTATCTTACGACGAAAATGAGAATGCAAAGCAAAAGGAAAAGCAAAACTATAGCTAGATGTGATAATTACTAACTATTTTCTTTGTTAAATAGCTATGTTTTATACACTAACAGTATTAAAAAAAGTTCACTAACAATGCAATTTAATCAGCTACAGCTAGTTAGTATTATTGTTAAGAGGGGAATTCAACTGAAGAAATCACCACCAAATGACATTGGAAATGGATAGTTTTGAAGTTCTGTTCATGAGGCAAGCGGGGTCAAAAGTTTAAGACCATCACCTCCAATGCCATTCTCTTCTAGTACTCTATTATTGCTTAAGGGATTAGGAACAAAGTTGCATCTTGATGCCCTATAAAAGGAGATGCCTCTTTCACAGAAAATTGATGAAGTGATACAAAACGTTATAGGTGGCAAATGAGCGGGTTGAGCTGAATTTGGACGGATCAAAATGAGTGGCGTAATAATCCATCCGAATGTCACTTAGGCTAAAACGGGTAGTTGAAATGGATCGAGTCCATTGAGCTATAATTGCCTAAAACTTCAATACCTTATAAAATTATTTTCTTTATTATGATTATATATAATATATAAAATAAAATAGAATGTACTTTTTTTGAAATTATTTTGACTAAGTTTTTCATGAGCTGATTTAAGCTAAATATCAACCAAAACTTTGATGGGCTAAACTAATAAATAAATGAATCCATAATTAATCCAAACTTAAACGAGTTATAATTTTATAAGCTAATTTTACCACTCTACAAAATACATCTAATAATCAAACTTTGTGAATAAATGAACCCTCAAGTTGCAAGTGGATTGTAACACCAGATTATTTTATTATTGGATAGCCCGCCTGGCTTGATTTGCAAAATTTTGTTAGTCAACAAAATACTACATTTTCCTAATATGAAATGTCAAATTTAGCTCATTTTATATCCAACCCCTCCAATTCTGGAAGGATCAAATTGAAAACATATTCATTGATGGACCAACAATTGGATTACCAAGAATAGTTGTAGTTTTGACATAATTTGACTATGTTTATCTCACTAGTACCTAAAGAGTTTAGCCACTATGACTGTTATGCCACTAACTCAATTATTATTAAATATTTTTACGACAATAAATACTGTCATGTCTGAATTACTTGTGCCCAACTAAAAAAGAGAGTAGATTCCTGTACATTGTCAAGATTGATGTGCGGTCACTTTCAGCTACCATTATTGTCAAGATTAATAATGTGGATATTTTCTTATCAATTTAATAAGAAAAAGTAATAAAATATTTTTAGTCCATAATATAATAAACATATAAAATAAACTTGTTTTACTCTATATAAACAAGAAAAGCATGTATCCATAAAATAATATTCCATTTCATACTTTCTAAAAAATGGAGACTCAACAATTACCCTTAATCTTCTTTATTTCACTCTTGTTATTTCTTTACTTCATATTCTATCTATTTCAAATATGGAAAAAATCAAAAACCTTAACCAAAAAATTGCCTCCTGGCCCATGGAAGCTACCTATTATCGGGAACTTGCACCAATTAGCGAGTCATGGAGGCCTGCCACATCACACTCTCCGAACCCTATCACAAAAATACGGGCCATTAACACACTTACAACTAGGAGAAATTTCCGCGATTGTTGTATCTTCACCTGAAATGGCAAAAGAAATCATGAAAACTCAAGATGTTCGTTTTGCAACTAGGCCTCAAAGTATGACTGGAAGTATTATTTTTTACAATTATTCGGACATAGCATTATGTCCATATGGTGATTACTGGAGAAATATGCGCAAAATATGTGTCCTGGAACTTCTTAGTGCAAAAATGGTCAAATCATTTAACTCAATTCGACAAGAAGAGATGTCAAGTCTCGTCTCATCTATCATCAATTCTACGCCTGATGAGTCGTTGGTTAACCTATCGAATAAAATTTTTTGGTTTACAGGTTCTGTAACTTGTAGATCTGCTTTTGGGAAAGTTGTTCATGATCAAGATAAGTTGATTATGTTGGTGAAAGAGGCTGTTTCGTTGTCTTCAGGATTTGACTTAACTGACTTGTTTCCATCACATAAATGGCTTCACGGGATCAGTGGGATGAAGTCTAGGTTGTTGAAGGCTCACGAAAAGGTTGATGTGATTTTAGAGAAGCTCATTAATGAGCATTGCGAAAATAGAGCAAATGGTAACAAAGGTAATGGTGAGTCCGGAGCTGAAGATTTGATTGATGTTTTACTACGAGTCATGGAGAGTGGGGAATTTGGAATGCCAATCACAAATCAAAATATCAAAGCAGTTATTTTTGTAAGTTTTAGTGCCTATAACTTTTGAATTTGATTTATTATGCTACCTAGAGTTTTCAAGTTTGAATTAGGAAAAAATTCGAATATTTTTTCTACGTGTAGGAAATGTTCATGGCAGGAGCTGAAACATCATCGACAACAATTATTTGGGCGTTTTCAGAAATGATAAAAAATCCAGGTGTTATGGCGAAAGCACAACTTGAAGTTAGAGAAGCCTTTAAAGGAAAGAAGACATTTGAAGATATCGATTTAGAGGAGTTGAAGTATTTGAAATTAGTGATAAAAGAAACACTAAGGTTACACCCCGCGGCTCCTCTATTAATCCCAAGGGAATGTAGAGAAGAAACACAAATTGATGGATACAATATACCTATCAAAACTAAAGTTATAGTGAATGCGTGGGCAATTGGAAGAGATTCTAGATATTGGCATGACGATCCAGAGAGCTTTATACCTGAGAGATTTGAGAATAGTTCTATTGATTTTAGAGGAAATAACTTTGAGTTTATTCCGTTTGGTGCAGGAAGAAGAATGTGTCCGGGAATGTTATCCGGTTTAGCTACTGTAGGGCATTCTTTAGCTAAGTTGTTGTATCACTTCGATTGGAAACTTCCTGATGGAGTTAGTGTTGATGATTTTGATATGACTGAAGCAGAAGGAGTAGCTGCCAGTAGAAAGAATGATCTTTGCTTGATTGCTACTCCTTTTGATCTCTCTTAATGGTTTGTTAGTTGTTACTACATGTTTATCTAATAATTGCTAGTATACACTCTTTTGTGTCTCAATTTATGTAGCATCTTTCAAATTTTAATAATCAAACAAGTTTTTTTTGTCTTTTATATATTTTGACCCGTTGTTAGTTATTGTGACTCATATATACTTCTTAATTACGTAGTCTTTCAAAATGTGTAAATTTTGTTTGAAGAACCTTATGGATTCTATGTTTGAATTCAAAATCCAAATTAAAAAATTTATTTCTCGAAATTCAAATTTCGTGCCATGTAAATTAGGACAGAGGAGGTAATAGCTTATTTCTCTTTTACATGGTATGTTTGTGAACAACATAAACTTACACTACTACTTTAAAGTCACAATTTTCCTATTGAAAAATGTTCTCGTGGCTATTTCCATTTGGTTGAATTGGTGAGAAAGAAAAAAATAGGACTTATCATATGAAAAGAATTATCAAATTTCCCATATTTCAATGAAAATCTGTTTACCAATGCATTTTTTCAGTGAGCTGATTATGAAAAATGAGTAGGAAAATCAGGTTCTATAGTTCAAATTTTCTACTAATTTGCAGTGAGAAAAATCTTTATTTTTACTAGTGTAGGTTTTATCTTCGGGATATTATGGCTCTACTTGAAAACTAAAGGCATAATACATAAATGTGCCCTTTAACTTGGTCTCAAATGACATTTATGCTTTTTAACTTTGAGTATGCACAAGTAAACACTTAATTTGTATAAAATTGAACAAATAGACATATTCGTCCTACGTGGTGTCCTACATGACAATTTTGTGTCCAATGTGGCATCATATATGTATTATGCCACATAGAATGCATATATCTACTTGTTCAATTTTATACAAATTTAAGTTTCTACTTATGCACACCCAAAATTAGAAAGCATAGATGCTAATTGAAGCCAAATTAAATGACATTTTTATATTTCCTCTGTCCAATAATAGTTGTCCACTATTGACTTGACACATCTCTTAAGAAATAATAAATAATAAGGGGTAATATTACTATTTTATCCTTTGACTTTATTAAATTTAATGCTTTGAGAAATGAATTAGATGATAAATAGTATTTAACAGCAAGGGTAGAATAGACACAAAATATAAATTATCTCTTGATTTTTTAAACTGAACAAATATTATAAAATAATTATTTTAGTATAATGGACAACTACTGTTATACGAAAGGAATACTATATATAAAAAATAAAACAGAAATAACTGAACATTTATATGTTTATGTATTTTGTCAAGATTGGTGTGCCATGACTCTTCTGCAACCTATTGTTTAACAGGAAAGGAGCCTTTAGAATATGGATGGATACTGTCAAGTTAGGTGTGCCATAAATTTTGTACCACAAATTAGGTTAAACATTTGGATAAATATCTTACGGACATTTTTATCTATGTACTTTTAGAAAAAAATCATATTTATTTTGTTTTTATACTTTTTCGATATTTTTATCCATGCCATTTGAAATTAAACCTATATATATAAATATATATATATATATATATATATTTAATCATTTTTCATTTTTTATTATAATATTTTTAATTATCGTTTGAGTATTAATTATATCAATTTATGCTTATGCAATAATTGCGTTCTTTTACGAAAGAAGAAGACTTATTGCATAGAATGGATCTGAAAAGCCTCATTGCGCGACTTGCGCTCTCAGAATTCAGATTCAACCCATTAAGTCCATTTGTTTTTTTTTTTAAAAAAGGCTCAGAATGGATCTGAAAAGATCTTAACGAAGAGAGTCTCATGCCTCATTTGTTTGCACTTAATGGAGGTCTGAATCTTAATCATTCAGATTCAGTCCATTAAGTGTGTTTGGTTTTTAGGTTTGAATCTGAATGCTTCAAATTCAGCCATTCAGATTAAGCCCATTAAGTCCATTTGTTTCTTTTTTCAAAAAACCTCTTAATGGACCTGAAAAGGTCTGAACGGATCAGATCTGCAGGAGAGTCTTAACATCATTCAGACTTATTTAATAAGTTATAAAATAATATTATATCGCTTCTCTCGGTCTTTGCGTGACTTTTGCTCTCACAACTACAAACTTTCTTCCTCTCTTTTCTCAATCAAACACCAATTTTTTCCTCTTGAACTGATAAATTTTCATAATCTTTACACGTACTTTTTTTATATTAATAACTTTCTTAGGGTGTATTGATGTTTGTCAAAAACACTTGTTGCAATAATATTTTTAGCGTATTGATGTTCATCAAGGTTTTTGAGTGAAAAAATACTATTCATAATTAAAAAATAATAATTATGTATACATATTTGAGGTCTCTTATTAGAATTTTGCCTTAGGCCAATTATTTTATTGAGACTCTTTGATCATCAAATTCGTTTGTGAGATATAACACTAATATATTATTGTTGTTGAACTAGTTGGTGACAAAAATAATGGAGCTCTTAATAATTCTCCATCCCAATCTTCAGTTTCATCTGGAAAAAAAGTTTTGGGAAGAAAAAACTTATTCGTCTGAATTGGAAATTGATGAGAAGATGATTACTACTATGGAGTTATTGATTAAAAAAATAGTGCACCTACATTTGAAGAATTAATGAAAAAATTGATGGACTTGGATGGGAAGAGTCATTATACAGTACATCTGTTAGTATATTTTGTGAAAGTGTCCACTACAAAAAAGCATGAATGACGTTAGAGGTTCACAAGTTAGAGAATTGGATTAAGGTTATACGGAAAAAAAATAAGAATTCTTTAGTTTTTTCTAATTAGCCAAAATATATGTTAGGCGTTGATAGTGTAATACCTTATTTATTATATTTCAACTAGTATTTATCATACTTATTGAACTTTTTGACATTATATTGTGCCTATAAAATACTTTTTATTCGTGATTTTTTTATGTTATGCTTGATGATTATGATATTTTTTTTAATCAAAAAGTAATACTTTGTTGAAATGAATTTCTTATAATTTTTTATTAATATAATGTTTGATTTCATATGCACATTCAGATATTGAAAACAAACAATAATCATTCAGTATTCAGATTTGGAGACAACATCTTAATATTCAGATGTGTATTCAGATCTAGACACGTAGCTCTTAATACAAATCTTAATGTTCAGATGTGTATTCAGATACAGAGGTCTTAGTCTTAATGAAAACAAATGTGGCCTTAACAACATTCAGACTTATTAAATACACTCGAAAACAATGATGTAGCCTCTCCCTCTCATTGCACGACTTGCTCTCTCTCTCTACAAACTTTCTTCCTCTCTTTTCTCAACCTAACACCAATTTTTTTCCTCTTGAACTGGTAAGTTTTCATACTCTATACAAGTATTTTCTTATATTAACAATCTTTTTGGGTTGTATTGATTTTTGTCAAGAACTGTTGTTGTAATAATATTTTTGGGTGTATTGATGTTTATCAAGAACTCAAGATTTTTGAGTAAAAAATAGTAGTCATGATTAATAACAACTACCATATATACATATATGAGGTCTCTTATGAAAATTTAATTTGTTTAGGCCAAAGACATTGAAGACTTCACCTCTACCCTTTCGAATTTGTGTACATATTTTTTTGAAGGTTGTACTACAACAAGAGTGCATGATTGGAGTCCAAGTTATACTTATATTTAGTAGGTGACAAAAATGATGGAGCTCCTAATAATTTTTCATCCCAATCTTCAGTTCGATTGAAGAAAAGTTTTGAAGAAGAAATTGATGAGAAGATGAGTACTGCTTTGGATTTATTGATTAAAAAATAGTACAACTAGCTTTGACGAATGCAAAGAAAAAATTATATGAAATTGGATGCGAAGAACCATTATATAGTACAATTGTTAGTGATGATGACGCTAGAGGTTCACTAGTTAGAGAAATTGATTAAGGTCATCCGAAAAAATAGAAATTCTTTAATTTTTCTGACTAGCTAGAATATATGTTAGGCTTTGATGATGTGAAACCTTCTTTATTATTTTTCAACCAGTATCTATCATACTTATTGAACTTTTTGATATTATATTATTCCTATGAAATATATTTTTTCGTGATATATTTTCTTATCAAGAGATGTTTATGTTGAATTCTTAAAAGAAATCATGTTACAATAATTTTTATATCGATATATAATTTTTATTTGCATATCACATAATTTATTTTAATCAAATATAAACATTTAAAATATTATTTTTATTAAAAAATAATATTTTTTTGTTGAAATGAAATTTTTATAATGTTTAGTTTCATATGAAAACAAACAATTTTAATCATTTAGGTCTAGACATCTAGATCTTAATGCATTCAGATATCTTAATCATAATGGAAACAAATGAGACCTTAATGGTTGAATCTGAATGATTAAGATTTAGACCTTCATTAAATGCAAACAAATGAGGCCTTAGAAAGACGAAAGAAATTTGGATCCGACTTCCCATTAATTCTTCCCTTCTACTTTATTTGACTTATATTTCACGATGCTAAAATAAAATAATATGAAGATAAAACGGTTCAACGCAAAAATAAATTAAACGGAAGAAAAGAAAAGAAAAAAGAGGAGGGAGACAAGTGGGGAACATAGCAGCAAACCAGTGACCATCAATTTGTCAATAGAAATTTGGTCACTATTTGGCCCTGATTTTTTAAAAGTTATTTTGGACTTTATTATTTTATTTGAGACTTTTTTTATATATTTATAAATAGTTTATATATTTCTTTTGAAAAGAGAGTTTGAGAGCAGTTGTGTGAAGTAAGGCGAAAAATTTGGTAATTGTTATACGATAAAGATAATAGAAGTTAAATAGCTACGAACAATAGAAAAAGAATAGTAATGTTTTTCTTCCAATATTTCAAAATGTGTGTATTTTTACGGATAAGAGGAATATATATAGAAGGTAGGAGTGTTTTTGTAATATTTCGAAAAAGAAGAGAATAAAAAGTATCACAAAGATCTGGGCTCGTAACCTACAAAAATGTAGAAGCAAAGGGTGAGTACCAAGCACACGGCACTCAACAAGTAAACTTTTAAACACAAGTTAAGGGAAAAGAATACGGGTACTTCTTACACCCGAAACGAACCTCCACAACTACAATATGCATAAAA